GGACAATGTCAGAGCCGATTGGCTCAGCAGGCAACTGATAGACTAGTCGGAATGGGAGCTGGACCCCGAGATTTTTCGAGAGATTACCACAATCTTTGGCCTGCCAGTTGTGGACCTGTTCGCCAGTCCGGCGAACACCCAACTTCCCAGATTTGTGACTCGTTACCCATCTCAGATGGCAGAGGATCACAACGCCCTACGATGTCACTGGCCCCCCCGGCCTTTTGTACGCTTTTCCTCCAATTCCGCTGATTCCTCAGGTGATTCGGAAGTTGTTGGATGAACGTGCGGAACTGCTGCTGGTGGCCCGCAATTGGCCTCGTCGGCCATGGTATGCCGACCTGGTGGCTCTGGCCGTACTTCCCCCGTGGGAGATTCCACCGACCCGTCTCTCTCTGCGCCAAGGAGCAGTGTCCCACTCAGATCCAGGATGGCTCCAATTGGCCGTTTGGCGTTTGAGCGGGTCATCCTGCGCAAGGACCGTCTCCCCGATTCCGTCATAACCACTATACAGGCATCTCGTAGACCTTCAACATCGCGCATATACGAGGCCTCGTGGCAGGCCTTTTGCGCCTGGTGTGCTGACAACTTGGTGGACCCTGCGTCGGCTCAGGTCATTGACATTCTCTGTTTCTTACAATCCGGCCTGGACAAGGGCTTGTCGCCGTCTACTCTTCGTCGACAGACCGCTGCTTTGTCCACTGTCGTTCGCTGTCCACCTTACTCGTCTCTGTCTCAGCATCCCCAACTCAGAGAATTCTTGCATGGGGCTATGAACTTACGTCCGCCTCCGGTTCGTTGATACCCGACCTGGGACCTTTCTCTTGTTCTTCAAGCGCTTATGTGTCCACCTTTCGAACCGCTGGGCTCTATATCTCTTAAGTATTTGTCCTATAAGGTCGCCTTCCTCTTGGCGATCACATCCGCCAGGAGGTTATCCGAACTTTCAGCTCTGTCAATCAGGAAAGACTTGTGTATTTTCCACGCCAATACTGTTGTTCTTCGCCTGGACCCGGCTTTTTTGCCTAAAGTGAACTCATATTTTCACCGTGCTCAGGAATTAATCCTTCCTGACTTCTGTCCGCCGCCCAGGCACCAACGTGAGAAGGATTGGCACACCCTTGACGTGCGCAGGGCCCTCCGTCGTTATATTCGCAGGACTGAATCGTTCCGGAGAACGGAGGCCCTTTTGATATCTTTTCATCCAAGGTCCTTGGGCCAGAAAATATCTCCATCGACTGTGGGCAGGTGGATTAAGGCGTGCATCTCTACTGCTTATGAACGCCAGGCCAGGCAGGTTCCGTCTGGGATTTTGCCTCACTCTACTCGTAGTGCGGCGACGTCTGCTGCCTGGGCCACTCAGGCTTCTGTTTCCGACATTTGCCGGGCCGCCACCTGGTCCTTGGTGACACCTTTTATCAGACACTACAGGGTGGATTCTTTTGCCTCCGCTGAGGCTTCTTTTGGCCGTCAAGTCCTGCAGAGTGTTCTGGCGATGCAGGACTCTGGGGGCCTTTAGTTTCCCACCCTTAATTTTTCTGAGCTTGGGTATATCCCAGCTATGGCATGCAGGAGCAGTACTCTGGAAAACGAACATTGTCTTACCTGAATGTTCCTTTTCGGAGTACTGCGACTGCAGTCCATCCCCTCCCCTGATTTTCTTTTTATATTCTTTGACTGTTGGTGTCTGAGCCGGACTGGATTTGTTATTGTTTTTCCTCCTACTGGTGTTTTCTTGGACTATTTTAGGTGGTCGCGCCTTCGTTCAAAGACTGGTGCATTATGGGAGCAGGGGGCGTGACCACAGGATGAAGAGCGATATATGTTTGAAATATCACCCAGTCAAAAGGAAGTGATGACGAAGAAACCCAGCTATGGACTGCAGTCGCAGTACTCCGAAAAGGAACATTCAGGTAAGACAATGTTCGATTTATTTTAAGAGAAGTTAATAAGTTACTAAAAATATTTATGGTTGTGAAGGAGGAAATCATTTCTTTATATATTTTCTTCACTTTTGTATTTTTTCTATTTTCTACACCTATTTTTTCTTCTCCTTTTTCAATTTGTATCAGTTTTTTTAATCTTTTTATCATTTATCATTGTAAAAAGTGAGGACAATTCAAGAAATGTAAATAGACGTGTCCTTTTGGGGAAATGCTATGCACATAGTTTAACTAGATTTCAGTAAGACATTTGACAAAACAGATCACAGCCTATTTTTGGTAAATCAAACTATGGAATATATAGTACCATCATTAGATGGATTTGCAACTAGTTGACCAACTGCACTCAGCAGCTAGTCCTCAATGAAATTACATCTACATGGAGGGAAACATGCAGTAGGATACTTCAACATTCTTTCTTAAACTCAATACTCTTCAACTTCTTCATAAATGATTTGGATGAAGGGATAGAAGGAGGACTCATCAGATTTGCAGCTGACACCAAGCTGGTAGACTAACTAACACTTTAGATGATAGGCTCAAGATTCAGAAGGACTTTGACTTGAGCACTAGATCCCATCCAAGAAAATACAATTCAGTACTGAGTAAAGTAAGATCCTACAAATAGGCAAGAAAAACCAAATACATAGATACAGAATAGGTGGTATCTGGCTCAATAGTAGCAACTATGAGAGAGATCCAGACATCCTAGCAGACTACCAGTTAAATATGAGGCAGCAGTGTGTCAAAATAGCTAATGCAGTCATATTAGAGTCAATAGAGTGATAGTATTAAGATCAGGTAAAGTGATAATACTACTTTATACTGCACAAGTGAGACTTCACTTGCCATATTATGTCCAATTCTGGTGACAATGATATAAAAATGTTCAGACCCTATGTTGTGACCCGGACTCCCGAGCCTGTCCTAACAGAGGAAGAGGACTTAGAAGGTGATGGGGAGGAACTGATAAGGCCTCCCTCTCCAGGACCCTCCTTTCTCGCAATGCCTCAGGTTCCATCTGAAGGCCAGGAGGAACAGCCTGGGATGTGCCAGGACGAAGGCATATCGGAGCACCAATTGATAGGGAACGAGGATGATGAATCCTGGCTTGATCCCAGGCAGCGTTGGAGGGAGAAGCGTGCGCAGCAACGGAAGAGGCGTGGGAGGACCAGAGATTGAGCTGAGTCACGGAGCCACACCCCACCAGGAATAAAAGTGGGTGGGATTGCTCTTCAGGCTTTGTGACAGACAAAGATAAACCCTGAAAGTCACATCGTGATCTCTGAAATTTGATTTGGATATATTTCGGACTGAACATTGACTAAACCCTTGTCTCATGGATAATTTGTTGCTCCTGGAACGGACTGAAGATAAGTCCTCTTCTGCTTTATGGGAGTGAAAACGGTCTTGGCAGGCATTCAGCAGTTTGCTGCCAAAACCTTGGTCTGCCAGGAATTCTAATCTGTTTACCCAATAAAATATTGGCAGGCGTGCTTGGTATTACGTTTGCCTGTGTGAGGAAGGGGGACAGAACACCCTAGAAAACATGCAGAGAAAAATAACAAAGATGATAAGGAGTCTGGAAGCTAAGCCATATGATGAATGATGAGGGAGCTAGTATGTCTATGTAACAAAGAGAAGGATTAGGGTTGATATGATAACAGTCTTCCAGTACTTGAGGAACTGTCTAAGAGAAGAGAGTGTCAACTTATTCTCCAATGCACTGAGATCAGAACAAGAAGTAACTGATAGAAGGTCATTAAAGAGAGATCCAACCTAGAACTAAGGAGAAATTTCCTGACAATGAGAACAATTAGTGGAATGGCTTGCTTCTGGAAGCTGTGAATAGTCCATCACTAGGGATTTTCAAGAAGGGTCTAGACAGTGATTTGTTCAGAATGGTATGATCTCCTGCAATGGGCATGTGGTTGGACTGGAAGACCTCCAAGGTCCCTCCCAACCTTATTATTCTATATTCTATGTCCAATATGGCCATGAGCTTTTCAAGAGTTTTACATGACTTGCAAGAAAAAGCATTAACAAAATGTTACAGAGTGTATATAGAAATATACATTTTGCATAAAAATGGAAAGTGAAGCAACCTATCTTAAAGGGCCGGGGGGGGGTGGGCAGTGGTTAGCGTGCAGTACTGCAGGCTACTTCAGCTGACTGCTAGCTGCAGTTCGGCAATTCAAATCTCACCAGCTCAAGGTTGACTCAGCCTTCCATCCTTCCGAAGTGGGTAAAATGAGGACCCAGATTGTTGGGGGCAATATGCTGACTCTGTAAACCTCTTAGGGCTGTAAAAGCACTATGAAGCGGTATATAAGTCTACGTGCTATTGCTATTGAAATCATGGGTGCTCCATTACTGGAGGTTTAAAGAAAAGTTTGGACAGCCATTTGTTTGGGATGGTATGAGAATTCTTATATCTGGGCAGCAAGTTGGACTAAATGACCTCCATGATTCCTTCAGATATTAATGATTCTATGGCAAGGATCACATTTATACTACCCTGTTTTACCAAAAATAAGACATCCTCTGATAATAAGCCCAATCAGGCTTTTGAGCGCATGCCCTAAAATAAGCCACCCCCTGAAAATAAGCCCTTCCCGAAAATATTTAAACACATGCACAGCCAGTCCCTGCCATTTCCTCTGGTTTCCTCCACATAACCCAAAATAATAAGACCTCCCCAAAAATAAGGCCAAGCGCTTATTTCAAGGTTCAAAAAAATATAAGACAGGGTCTTCTTTTCGGGGAAACACGGTATCTTTTTTTAGGTATTGATAACCATTTTATAATGTGGAAAATTAAATAGAAAATCCATTTCAGAACATATTTTAAAATTTGAACTTTTAATATTATGAAAACATGGATGGATAGAACAAGGATTAGGGTTAGGGTTAGGGTTAGGGTTAGGGTTAGGGTTAGGATTAGAAGGAAAACTAAATGACCACATAATGTTTCCAATAGTATTGATTTTCACTGTATTTAAAATGTGCAATTTCTGACACTTCCACTCTAATATTTCAATTTGTGCTTCTCTTACAGGCAAACTATACTGACCCTCAGAGCAAACTGAGATTTAGTACAACTGAGGAATTTGCCTATATCCGAATGCTTCCTTCAGATGTTATTTTGGGTTACCTTACACTAAGGAAAGCAACAAATGTTGTTCCCTGAGAAACAAAAACAAAGCCATCATCATCTTTTTTAAAAATGTAGGATGTATTGTATTGAATGCACAGAATGTATACTATCAAATGATAAATGTTTTCAATTCAATTAAAGTATTATTATTGATTCAGTGTTGGTATTTATTTTTCCTTTTTTCCACAATGTTGATTATAGTGAACAATATGCCCAGCATTTATCACTGCATTGGTTCTGTTGAAATTAGGACTAAAATACTACTTGCAAAGGCTTGTAATCAGTTTATTAAAACTCAGAGTAATTAGAGGGAGTTTAACATTTCCAACAAGACATCTCTCCCAGTTGACGGAATCAGAAAGGGAAGAGATTATTCAGTTATATACTAAATATATACAAATGAAGTATTTCTCACAGAAAAGTATTGCAGTAACACATGTTTATTCCCTTTGTGTGTATTGGAACAAAACCAAAAAAGGGAGGAAAAAAAGCAAATTGGACATAATGTCACACAAAACTCCAAAAATGGGCTGGACAAAATCATTGGCACCCTTTACTTAATATTTGGTTGCACACCCTTTGGAATAAATAACTGAAATCAGTTGCTTCCGATAACCATCAATAAGCTTCTTACACATCTCACCCAGAATTTTGGACCACTCTTCTTTTGCAAACTGCTCCAGGTCTCTCTTATTAGAAGGGCGCCTCTTCCCAACAGCAATTTTAAGATCTCTCCACAGGTGTTCAATGGGATTGAGATCTGGACTCATTGTTGGCCACTTCAGAACTCTCCAGTGCTTTGTTGCCATCCATTTCTGTGTGCTTTTTGACGTATGTTTGGGGTCATTGTCCTGCTGGAAGACCCCAGATCTCCAATGAAAACCCAGCTTTTTGACACTGGGCTCTACAGTGCGACCTAAAATCTGTTGGTAATCCTCAGATTTCATGATGCCTTGCACACATTCAAGGCACCCAGTGCCAGAGGCAACAAAACAACCCCAAAACATCAGTGAACCTCCACCATATTTCACTGTAGGTACTGTGTTCTTTTCTTTGTAGGCCTCATTCCATTTGCAGTAGAATGTAGAATGATGTGCTTTACCAAAAAGCTCTATCTTGGTTTCATCTGTCCACAAGACGTTTGCCCAGAAGGATTTTGGCTTACTCAAGTACATGTTGGCAAACTGTAGTCTTGCTTTTTTATGTCTCTGTGTCAGCAGTGGGGTGGTCCTGGGTCTCCTGCCATAGCATTTCATTTCATTTAAATGTTGATGGATAGTTCGCGCTGACGCTGATGCTCCCTGAGCCTGCAGGACAGCTTGAATTGCTTTGGAACTTGTTTGGGGCTGCTTATCCACCATCCGGACTATCCTGCACTGGCACCTTTCATCAATTTTTCTTTTCTGTCCATGCCCAGGGAAATTAGCTACAGTGTCATGGGTTGCAAACTTCTTGATAATGTTGCGCACTGTGGACAAAGGCAAATCTAGATCTCTGGAGATGGACTTGTAACCTTGAGATTGGTGATATTTTTCCACAATTTTGGTTCTCAAGTCCTCAGACAGTTCTCTTCTCTTTCTGTTGTCCATGCTTAGTGTGGCACACACAGACACACAATGCAAAGACTATGTGAACTTCTCTCCTTTTTATCTGCTTTCAGGTGTGAGTTTTATATTGCCCACACCTGTTACTTGCCCCAGGTGAGTTTAAAGGAGCATCACATGCTTGAAACAATCTTATTTATCCACAATTTTGAAAGGGTGCCAATGATTTTGTCCAGCCCATTTTTGGAGTTTTGTGTGACATTATGTCCAATTTGCTTTTTTTCCTCCCTTTTTTGGTTTTGTTCCAATACACACAAAGGGAATAAACATGTGTATAGCAAAACATGTGTTACTCCAATACTTTTCTGTGAGAAATACTTCATTTTCTGGAAAAATTTCAGGGGTGCCAACATTTACGGCCATGACTGTATAGTATTAAGAGAAACTGGATTGGAAGAAGATGAGCATGGTTTTAAAATTGGGGGAAGAAAAAATCAATACGTTGCACTGTATTGATATTACACTGGTAAGTTGTGTTTTAAATAATAAATCCATCTGTACGTAGCAGAAAAAAATTCTAGGAGTTCCTCCAGTGCCTCTGTATAGGAGTCATAATTCAGTAGCAACTCAGAATGTTGCCAGCAGTCCATTTTAAACCCTGGTCTCTCTTATAATTTAGAGTTTGGCTATTTTTAAAGACTTCCAAAAGGTACATTTTTCATATTTTCTCCACCTTGTTTGTTTTCAGATCTTTACAAATGTTATGTAGCATTATTCACTTCTAACATCTTCCATTTTAAGAATTTAATTTTATTGGAGTTGCTGGCAAATTTATTTCAAGCAACTGTTTGTTAAGGTAGTTTCACTCAACTTGAGCTCTTTCCTATTTTTATTTTTTGCCATGGAATCCTAATTATTGTTGGTCTGAGTTTAAGAAAACCATTCTTAAAAACCAAAATAAATATTCAATTCCACAGAATTTTAATTTTCCTTAAAATCATGCCTTCAGCATTAAACACTCATTTTCCTCCAATATTCCTACTTCCATTTCCATTACTGAAATTGTCAGGGAGAAGGATCAACTATCCTTTTAGCAATTACATCTGATCTGTTAGAATTAATTCAAGAATAGTTGATCCTCCTCCACTCAGAATTTCAGCAATGGAAAATCAGCTAGGAATTTATTGAAAAGATGCTAGGAAGAAGTCATCTCCCAGCAGATTCCCATTGTTACTCTTCATGCAACTTTAAAAGATCTATATTTTGATTTTGGAAGTCACAATTTATGTCTCCATAGTTGTGCAGATAATAATAACAAGAGTAGTGATTTTATTCATTCCTTCACTTAATTTACTTCAGATATACTCTGGATTGCCAATTCAGATGGTTTTTTAGGCAATATATATTATGTTAAAATGCAGTAATAGAGCAATCTGTACAGATTATCTGTTCCAGATTTCCAACAGTCAGCTGACTACAACTAACACTGATCAACCTAGAATCCATATACTTGAGATATCAATTTATCAGACCTATATTGTTGGGGCAACAGGCTGATATTTGTAAATGCTACAGAGTGCTATAAAGTACTATGGAGCAGTATATAAATCTCCTATTCCTATTAAGTCTGGCATGTTATATGGCAGGTGCCTGCCTGTTTGAATTCTAAAGATCCAGAGTACTTTTGCTTCCTCAATTTCTATTACTTTCTCTATTTTATGGTCTCACCAGTTTTTGCTTGCAGGCAAATGGTATTTCTTACAGATCTTCCAATGCACTTTGTCGTTGTTGCTACTTTGTCATATTGTTGTTTGTAGTCAGCCTGTGCAATTTTCTTGCAGCAGCTAACCAAATGGTCCACTGTGACTTCAGCTTCTTTGCAGAGATGGCACCTGCTGTTTAGTTTTCTCAATTCTGACTTTTATCTATTCGTTCTTAAGGCTTGGTCTTGTGCAGCCAGAATTAGCCCCTCAGACTCTTTCTTCAACTTTCCTGCCCTTAGTTATTGCCAGGTCTTATTATCTGTTTTACCTGTTATTCACCATAAGCCATGACAGCACAGTGGTTAGAATACAGTACTGCAAGCTACTTCTGCTGACCGCCAGCAGCCTGCAGTTCGATTGTCACTGGCTCAAAGTTGATTCAGCCATCCATCCTTCCAAGGTCGGTAAAATGAGGACCCAGATTGTTGGGGTTCTCATGTTGACTCTCTAAACCACTTAGAGAGGGCTGTAAAGCATTGTTAAGCAGTATGCAAGTCTAAGTGCTATTGCCATTCTTCTAAATGTTTTGCTGATGAACTTTACAATCTTCACAAAATACGAATAATTCTATTTTACAGGAAGTTGGAAGATGCCAGAGACTAAAACAACTTCATACCTAAAGAGGGACAGGATTTGACTTTAGCAAGAAAATATAGTCCAGTATCATTATTGAATGATTATTTTGTTCATGATGTTTTTATTTAAAATACTGAAAATAATTTTGCAAGTATTTATCCATGTGAATTTTTACTCAAATGACAGCTAAAAAACAATGATAGAACTGGATTTGATATTATGGAATATTTGGAACAACATAGCCGATTCATGTTTTAAAATGCAGAGATGTTGACAATTTAACTTTAATCCAAGTTAAATATAACGTGCTACAAGATGCAGAGGAAAAGGAATTGCATCTATCAAATTTGAAATTATATTTTTCTGTCTTACTGTTTAAATGACATAGTGGTTATTGCTAACAAAAGAAAGTTATTGGTAGGAGGACACAATCTGAGATGGAGGTGGCATGTATATCTATGATACGATGAAGCAAAAGTTACTGTAGATCTAAAAATTATTACATCAAGCCATTTTTAAAGAGTATGAAATAAAATTTAGACTGTCCCCAAAATACTTGTGTGGCTCTCATCACAAAAAACATTTTATAGACATAAATGGACACTAAACATAGTTAACTGGAATACTGATGTACTATAATTTTCGCAAAGGATTGTAAAACAAAATGATCATATTTCATAAAGAATGACATAAAGGTTTTTCATGTACAGTTATCAGAACTGCTTAAGATGAAATGAAATATTTTATCATTCTGAATGTTTAAAATAGAATTATGTACAATTGTATAAATTTTGTAAAAATAAACGTGATTAACACAAGCTAAATCATGTTTGTTGAAATATGAGACAGAAAAACTGATAAAAGAATGTGATAAAATTTACATATGGATTAAAAATGGATGAATGGGAAAATAAGTGATTGAAAGACTGAAATTTACATTATGCTTTAGCCTTAAACAGAATTTGTATAAAATTATATCACTGGTATTTGCTATCAGATAAATTTTCTACAACATATACAGTAAAAAAAAGTTTGAATCTTTGCTTAAGAAGTGAACAATATGAAGGAATATTTTATCATGGATAGTGAATGGGTAAAACAGCCAAAATTTGGAATCAAATATAAATATTTAAATTATTTAAAAAATAATTTGCAAGTGAAACCAGAGACTCTTCTTTTGAGGTTAATTAGTAAATTAAGTAAAAAGAGCTACGAAACTTTTTTTTGTATAGTATAACTGCAGCAAAATGTCTGTATCGGTGGGTTCTACTTACCTCTGCTACTGGCTCGCTCATGTGCTTCTGCGAATGCGCAGATCGTTCATGATGACGTCTGGGTGGGTGGGCGGAGCCTCCCACCGCTGGTACTACCGGTTCACAAGAACCGGATCAAACTGGGAGCAACCCACCACTGGTCTGTATGCCCAAAAGTGGAAACATTCAACATTACCCTCAAGAGCTAACTGATTGGTGAATATGATGGCATTTGCAGAGGGGTATAAATCAACTTCCTTGATTAAAGACAGTACAGTATATACATTTATGGCTGACTGGAAACCCCTTATAACTTTTTGCATGAAACAGGAAAAAATACAAACCACTTATGACATGGTTTTGATTATTAGATAAAAAATGAATAATTGAGGAGTAATCATAGAGCTTTACTTTGTAATTACCGTATATTTGCTGTAATCTTTTCGGGGTCCTTTTCCTTTTGCACCTTTTTTAATTCTATTAAATACACACACACACACAATCTATTATTTTGATTTCCCGTGGCATGTACTTTGGTCCTTTTGGCTTTGGCATAGGGATTGGCAATGTTTTCTGTCACCTTGGATTTATTTGAATAGTACCTTGTGTGTCTTTTATATTTGTCCAAATTATTTTTACCTTAGTGTTTGGATTCTTGGGTGCTATCTGGAGACCATCATCCTATGAATAGCAGAGGTCACTTTGACCTTGTTCTGTGGTTATCAGTTTTATACATTTCCTAGATTTATAGTATGTCTATTCTATTTGAATAATCAAAATTATTTTCATGGTGTTTAGGGATCATCCTCCAAACAGCAAATTCTTATCAACATCTCCTCCATAATCAGTTTAAATTTCTCCCAGAATATTAGTGTGAAATACCAATAGTGTGATTTCTTTTCCATGAAGCCAACTTATAGATGTACAGATATCCTAGTGCCTTGCAAATCTAAATTGTCTTTCTGACATATGTCTCCTCCACACATTAATTGATCTTATCCTTGGGGTAGATCAGAGAAAACTACAGTCTAGCATGCTGAATTTCAACAATTTAGTTTGAATTTGGTTTCCAGGGTGCACAAACCTTTTTGTCATGTTAGCTGATGTGCTCCATTACAAATTACATTGACACAGACAATATACTGAACTGTTTACACCTCCTCTAATCAAATAGCTGAATTCTAAACATTCCCATAATCACCAGAAGCATATTTTCAATCCAATATGATACTTCTTTAATGTAAGACAACCTTTTTAGTAATGAGTCTCTTCCAATTAATATTTCCTTTTGTGGTGACAGACTATTATCCCAAGAATTTCATTCTTTGTTATTCATCCAGGCAAAATAAATATATATATATATTTTATTTTAAAAGGGAACTAACACTATTATCAGGACTTTTTTAGGGAATCACATACATCAGGGTCCTTATCAAATATGGACTGCCCATTCCAGGGGCTCATGTAAAGCCTTTAATCACATTGTATATTTTTTTCAAATTAGTTCTTGTACAAACTAAGTGATGCAGTGCAGTTTCAAATATCAACATATTAATAAGGTAATATTCTTTAATACGGGAAAAATAACTCAAAACTTGTAATAATATTCAAATTTTCCATGATTTCCTACATATCTTGAATGAATGTCAACATTCATGTGGCATTAACATAATATCCTTGCCTATGCTTGGACATGTTTTGAAGACAGAGTAGCAATGGAGACATTTTAGTGTTTTTAGATTTTTTCATGGGAAAGAGAAGAAATCAGTTAGTTGAATCGTATTTACCTGAAATTAAGCTATGATTATGTTCTTTAATTTTTTTAATAAAATCTGATCCCCATATACATCTGCACCACTTGCTCATGCACCTTGTCAGACCTGCCTCAACCTAGACGTTTAGGAAAGAAAGACCCTCGACTCCATTTGATTGAAGTGATAGGTTCTTTTACTAAAGTCAAGCGGTTGTAGTGAAAGTAAAGCTAGATCTGGTATTCCCGCGCAAAGGTTACACTTTTTCCCCTTTCCTTGCTCCCCCCCCCAACCAGTTCAACAGTGTCCAATATTATTCCTTTTTGAATTTTTGGGAACCACTTTGATGTTGGTGCTTCTCGATGTAGTTTTTCATTCTGTTCCCAGGCCATCTGTCTTTGGCAGCTGATTTATTCCATTTTGCCATCTCTGGTTCTTGTCAGCTTGTCTTCCCACCTTCATTTGTCTTTCCCTTCCTATGTCCCAAATTCCTTCCCCTTACTTTCATTTTATGGTAGGATGCCAGTGAAACAAAAAGCTGAGGATGGTAGATGTGACATTTATAGGGCTGAAAGGTACATGATTATTTCCTTGGTTTGATTTTTTTCCCCTTCAATTTAACTATTGCATAGTTTACTAAAATTACTAGTATCTTATGTATCAGACAAGTTCATTTAATATGGTGAAGGTAAAAAGACTCTTAAGTTGAACTTGGTGAACATATCAACAAATTTTATGCAAGAAGCTAAACAGTAAAATTGATCCCCCCTCCCCCCCAAAAAATCTATTGAAAAGTTCATCACAAATGAAGGCAAATATACATGTCTAAGAATAATGTTTCAGGATCCAATCTGGGTTGGTCACTGGGACAGGAGGTTTAGTTTTCCTAGCTTTCAGATTTGTGCTACATCCCATCCTCAGGGAACTTCTACCGGAATATGCGTTCATCAAAAGTTCATCTATTCAGGCAGTAAATACCTTATTCTTTTTACTGGATGTATTGGCAAATGTATTTAACAACTGCCAAACATAAACAGAATCCCATTCTTATTCTTTGCATTTAATTACTTTTCTTTGTAAAGATCAATGAAATAACATATTTTAAACATTAATCTGACTGGATATAGTTTTCATCATTGAGATAGTGCGCTTATTGTCTGATGTGATGATCTCTACATTTAAGTTGGCAATTTGTAAGGATAACCATGTGTCAGGGTGATCAATATATAGGATTGTATTGTATCTACTGTACAGATAGTCCTCAACTTATGATTGGTCACTTAGCTATCATTCAGTTACAATTTTAAAAAAAGAGAGGGCTTATAACCTGGATTCAAAGTTTCCATGGTTGGGCCCTCTCTGTAGTCACGACTGAACTTTGAGCACTTGGCAACATGGCCATATTTATAGCCATTTGCAGTCACATTTTACAACAGTTTTGCCAAAAACTGGCACCTCTATTTTTGGCAAAATTGCACCCATAGAGAACCATTAGTTCCCTTAATGACTGCAGAGATTTTCTTGACAACTGCTGCAAAATAGTCATAAAATTTTACAACCATTACAACATGATTTTAATGGGCAAGCTCCATTATAGTCGTATGTCAAGGACTACCTATGTTTGAGGGTCTTAGGAATGAAAAGCATGACAGCATAGAAAGGACTGTAGAAATGTGGAAATACCATTTTTAAATAAATCCTATTGAACACAGTAGCACTGCTAATACAAAAACCACAGATATTTAGTTGCCATACATTACTATGGTAACATCCAATACAGATTTAGATTAATCAAAAGAAGACTGGTATTATTAGATGATGAATGTACTTATGACAGTAACTAAAGATACTGATATATACCTCACAAAGTTATATGGATATCACAAACCAGCATGAGGATTCTGTGAGTTAGTTTAACAGATCTGGAGAAGACTACATTGATATAATACAAGCTAGGGATGGCCTAGCTTTAGCCAGTGTTTCCCAAAAATACTTTCTCTGCTTTCTTAAATTTTCTGACTTCAACAGATAACTCCCAATATCGAAGATAGATCCACATGAGCTTTCCATTTTGATTTTTATTGGTATTTAATAAATTGCTGCAAGTGGTATCATATCTGAAAATATCTTTCAGCCCAGCTTCCAATTCCAGTTCCAAACCAATTGGATCAGTTGTTGCTTTGGCTAGCATTTTTTTCTCCATTGCCAACCGATGATATCTTGGCAGTACAAGGCTGCAATACATATCCTGCCTTTCCATTAAAGCTTCTTCAAACTCTTTTAGTAAAATAGTGGCTTTTGTTTGCCACTGATCTTCCTTCTCCAAACAGTTCTTATACAAAGCACCTGCAGCACCAGAATCCTGCAGAATCCGCTTCTCTTGTTCCACCTTTGTACGCTCTTGTTCCAAAGTTCTTCTTTCTTCTACCAATTTGTAACTCTGAGAGATAAGTGCGTTGCGATAACTTAGGGTTCTGTTCCTTTCTTTCTCCAATTCTAATTCTAAGTGGGCAACCATTCTGCGGTTTTCTATAATTATATCGCGATATTTAGATTCAAGCTCTTTCTGTACAAAAGACAATTTTCTATAGACATCTCTTTTCTCTTTTTCTATTTCTTTCTTACATTCTCTGGACCAAATCCAACCTGTAAGACATTAAAATAACCTATAATGGTAAATGCTAGGACTGGTTTCCAACTTAGTGTTAAGCCAAACTTGATAAAGAATGTGACAAGTCTGAACTTATTTGAGATAGGACAAACATCTCTGAATTCTTCCAATCTTAGATCCACATTCTTCTGCAGAACTTGTTTCTGTTTTACACTAAGCATACAATGAAAAAGCAAAATATTAAGACACCTAAAAGCTTTAAAAGACTGTTTTTTATGTTTGCATATATATATATGAGGAAATAAGATCAGTAGAATAAAGTGGAATCAGAGATCAATGAACTTATCCTCAGAGCAGGGTAAATCTTACAACTAGATACCTAATTGTGTTGCTTGGAAATGGATGGGGGAAGAAAATGAGGCTCTCTTAGAATAGTTCTCTGTATGAGATTGTTTTCTCTTTCCAATTGACTTTTTAAAAATTGTGACATAATGTAGCATTTTTCTTCCTTTTTTATAACACATTGTAACTTATTATTTTCAATTTTTTTTAAATGTTCAATGCTTACTCAGTCTTTCCATTTTCAACCATTAATTATATTGCTAGGGGTTTTTTACCATAGTAATGTCACTCTATGTATTGGCCTTCTATCTTTACATTAGTAGTAGTCCTCAACTTACAACCATTTGTTTAGTCACTGTTCAAAGCTACAACGGAATTGAAAAAAATGACCTATGACTGTTTTTCATATTTACAACCATTGCAGCATTCCTATGATTACATGATCAAAATTTTAACAACTGCAGTAATTCAACTGTGGCAAGAAAGGTCGTAATATGGGGCAAAACTCACTTAACAACTATCTTGCTTAGCAACAGAAATTTTGGGGTCAATTGTGGTTGTTAGTTGAGGACTACCTGTAATCTCTTACCCCTTATCCCAATCATTTAATAATTGCATGTTTCATGCCAGCACAGATTATTTCCAAAAATGAAAGAGGCAGAAATAAAGGCACTAAGGGAAAGTTACATTTTATTTTTGTCAGCGGAAAGTATTAATGGTCCCCTGCCCTTAAAAGTAATTGGTAATGATCCTGGCCATCCTGGGTCCACAAGGTTGCCATTTTACCAGGAAGTAGCTGATAGGAACAGAGCCGATTGTCTCATCACATTAGTCCAATGGCAAAGGAGAGGAGGTTCACAGGAGAAATTCAGGTTCCTATGTTTCTCGTTGTGGTGGAGGAAGATGATGTCGTGGAAAAGGGGATGATGCAGAATTGCAATATTTCTCTTTGATTGGGAAGATGGGAAGGGGGAAGAGGTGGCAGTATAAGCATAAAGGTCATCCAGTGCTCTTGCCAAAATCCTCCAAATGATCAAATATTTAATATCCAGCATAATTTCCAGGCAATGGCCCTGGAAAAAAACGGCCAAGCACTAAAGAAGTGTGTTCTAGAACCATTATGAAGATTTTTATTTCTCTTCTATTTCTCACTTGCAAGCAGTACAATAGATTAAGGCAGGGGTGAAATGTAAAATTTGTTACTACCGGTTCTGTGGGCGTGGCTTGGTGACTGGGTGGGCATGGCCAACTTTTTTTTTTTAAACTTTTCAGCGCATTTTTTCTGCAAATGCAAAAAAAATGCTTTGAAAAGGCTCTGCTGATCAGGCAACACAGCTGGGATTGTCAGAGAGACTTTTAAAGCATTTTTTTCTGCAACCTTTCCGGGAAAGAGGTGGTTAAAAATGCTTTGAAAAGGCTCTGACGATTCCAGCTGAGCCGTGCGATCATCAGAGGCTTTTTTTTTTACTTTTAAAAGCATTTTTTCGATGGAAGAAGTTGTAGAAAAAATGCTTTTAAAAGTTAAAAAAAAAAAAAGCTTCTGATGATCGTCCGGCTCAGCTGGGCATGGTGTGTGTGTGGGGGGGGGGCGCCCAGGGATTTTTGCTACCGGTTCTCCGAACCACCCACCGCCATTCCTACCGAATCAGGCAATCTAGTCCGAACCGGGAGCATTTCGCCCCTGGATTAAGGGGAGCAGAAGCCTATATAAACAATACTATTATGAGGAAGAACAAACAAGAGATTATGTTTCATTAGCCTGGATACTGATGTCCTGTTCCAGGTAAACATGATGTCACAATCTTTTTCACTGCAGTCAAATGTTCATGAATGTCGGGAAAATAGGAACAGGGTATAGTCCCAAGACTAATTCTTAAGAGATATACCTCTATGATCTTAAATTGGCCCCTAATTGGTCAATGCAAATTAGAATGACTAGAGTGAACCAGGGCAGGAAGGATGTGGGAGGTTTCATTCAAATTGGACTGGCAGTAGAGTTTTACAAACATTATCAAAGTGGGCTCAATAATCAGAAAAAAAATAAAATATGGAAAAGTTCTTTTATTGCGTTCTAGACTTAAGAGTTATAAACTGTTTTAGGCTGAAGATTTTGTAAACTTGCATGGCCATGAATTAGAAGTAACCATACTTCCCCTACTGAATCTCTGTAACATTTCATTAGCCAAATTCTAGGCAGTTGGCTGACTGACAGAAAAAAGAAAGTTTGTTTCCTACAAAGTCTGAGACTTGAGTATTTTCTTTGATAAAGGAAGAAATATAAATGTTGTAAGGAATCTTTATTTTTTAATACTACAGTAATGATAGAGCTCCTGGTTTCAGGAAGCCTAGGTAGCCTTTAAAATAAGCACAAAATATTTATAAGATGATTCAATGTTAACAATGTATAAGCAGAACAACTTAAATTTAAAAGTAATCGAAAAATTCAAATTTTATTTAAAGGTCACTTACGGAAGGCAGCCAATCCCAGCATTGGAACCAACAAAGCATAATTCCATTTGCTTCCATGATCTTCATTATTTCTTGCATTAGGCTGAATGTTCCAGTTAGGAGGAGGGTTATTTAAATTATTCATAGGCAAACCTTAAAATCAGAGAAAGCATCTCTTGAGATTCTTATCACCTAACTTTACACTCAGCTATTTAAACTCATATACCTCTGATAGAATTCCCTGAAAAATTACTTATACCCATGACATACTGAAAGTACACGAAAAATGTAGGGGAAAAACATACTGCTGCCAAATCTGATCTCTCATATCTTTCATTATGCTTTCCCAAATAATAAAGGTTTAGCCAGATCATCAGCTAGTTCCTTTAGTACTTTGGAATACAATTAATACACTCTTATATTTAAAATCATTCATAAGAAGCATGTGTTTCCTGACCATGTTTCTGATGGTCTCAATCTTTAGATTCTGCCATTTTATCTATTCTTCATACTTTCTGGTAGAACCAGAGCTGATTCAGTGCTAAAGTCAAGTAGGTCAAATTAGAGCAGTGGTTCTCAACCTGGGGGTCGCGACCCCTTTGGGGGTCGAACGGCCATTTCACAGGTGTCACCAAAGCCCTCTCTGCCCCCCCACCTTCACTCACCCTCACCCTCTGCCTGTTGGATCGCCGGTCGCCGGTCACTTACCCCGCCCACTCCCAATCTATTGCTGCCTGAGTCCCAGCTGATGGCTAGAGGGAAAAAAACTGTTTAAATTCTTGCCGCGGACTTCAAAGGGCCGCCCTATAGCTCATCAGTGTTAAAAGAAAACAAATGAATAGACCGGTGCCTGCAAAAATAGAAAAAACAGCCCCTTTCAGCTTCAGCATAGGTTAATTACCATAAGTTGATTTGATCAGCCTACCGACTCTCAGCTGATTTGCTCTCAGCTGTTTTGCGGAGGGCTCTATTCCTAGCTAGCTGCAAAGAGGTAAATTGCTGGAGCAGATTTTTTTTCCCCTAGCTATGCTGAAAAAGCGAAACTGAAAGTACAGCAGGGTCTTTGCTGCAACGTGACAAAATGAGGCAGAGAGAGATTTCTTTTTCTTTTTCCTCACCAAAAAAGGTAGGTGCAAAACTGCAAACAATGGGAAATTTAGGGGAAAAGAGGAGGTTCAAGATTTTAAAACACAAAAGAAAAAAAGCTCTATTTAACTAGGGAATTGTAATAATTGGATACTATTAATTGTATATTGTGTTGAAAGCAGAAACGGTTAAGTTGTGGTTTGGAGGAATATATGGGGGAAATTATTTGGTTTATTATTATTGGTAAATATAATTAATTGATTTCTAAGAAATTGGATTGCATGGAAATAATTGGAATATTCATGTTCATACTGATTAATATACAAAAAAGATTGTTATATAACTAATTGATTTATATTACCTACGAGACCGTCTTTTGCCACCAATAGCCTCCCACCGACCAGTTCGTTCTCACAGGGACTACTCAGGGTGCCATCAGTCAAATTATGCCGACTGGCGACTCCCAGGGGGAGGGCCTTCTCTGTGAGGGCTCCAACCCTTTGGAATGAACTGCCCCCGGAGATATGGAATATCCCTGATCTCCGTGCTTTCCGCCGTGCCCTCAAAACCCTGATGTTCCAACAGGCGGGGCTAAACATATGAACATGTGAATGATTTTTTTTTTTTAAATGTTATCTAATTCTGGGTTTTATTTAATTGACCAAACTAAGTAATAATTTTAATTAGCAATTTTATGATGTTTGTGTGTCTATATTTTTCTTGACTGTACACCGCCTTGAGTCCTACGGGAGAAAGGCGGTATAGAAATATAATAAATAAATAAATAAATAAATAAATAAATAAATAAATAAATAAATAAATATTAAAATGTTGAATTTGTATTAAAAAACTGTATTACATAATTACATAATTAACCAATGTGAAGATGGATATAAAAATAGATGACAATGCGAACAGGTATAATATAGAATAGAAGGGAAAAATTGAATTTGATTAAGATTAGAGATGAGGATGAAGGGTAATATTGGTTTTTTAAAAAAATAGATGAGGAATAAATATGGCAAAAAGGAAATATAGAAATTGTAAATTTAATTGAAATGACTAAACACTGTTTAAATTTGTGAACCGGCCAAATACTCTGTTCAAAGACTATACATTGTATGTTTGTATGTGTGTTTCTAATTATTGCTATTTATTCATATTTGTTCTCTTTTAGTCTTTAAAGTTTAAAAATTCATTCTTTATCTTAATATCTTTATATTTGTTTAGGGTTGGTTTTCTTCCCTTTCATCTTTTTTATTGTACAGCAATCTTTCTCCTCAAACCTACCACCTCTCTTTCTTTCCTTCTTACTTTCTCTTCCGCCCCCTCTTCTTCTCCTCCCTACTTCCTCTTCCTCTCCTTCTCCTCTCCTCCTCCCTCTCTTACCCTCACTCCTACTCTAATTTCCCTTCCCTTCCTTCATCCCTCTCTATTGCTGTATCCTTTTATGCATACTCAGAGGGATGAAAAAGTTATTTTTGACTGGTCCTTGCACTTTTGACCAGTCCTCGAACTTACGACTGTCCTCACATTTTACGTTTTTGCCCTCTATCACCATGGTGAAGAGAAGCAGTTGTGAAATGAGTGACACGGTTGTTAAGAATGCTGCACGGGCATAAATGTGAGGATGGTCATAAGTGTGAGGACCAGTCAAAAGTGCGAGGACCTGTCAGAAATGACTTTTTTTCAGCCCTCTGAGTAGTCCCTATACACATAGCCATGGCCACCCGGTCACATGACCAGCTAGCCACGCCCACCCAGTCACATGACCTCCAAGCCACGCCCACAAAATAAGCCACGCCCACAGAACCGGTAGTAAAAATTTTTAGAACCCACTCCTGGTTGGAGGTCACCACAACATGAGGAACTGTATTAAAAGGTCGCGGTTTTAGGAAGGTTGAGAACCACTGAATTAGAGGAACCAAATTTTAGGGGTGCCTATTCTTATAATCTATTCAGGGAAGAACGAAGTACACAAAGTGATATTGATATTCAAATACTGACAGGAACAGTTTTAAGATACATTTAACTGAAGAAAAAAATGGGGGAAGGGAGAGCTATAGCAATCTTCAAATATCACAAGTGCTATTATTAAGAAAATGGAGCAGAATTTTTCTCTGTTGCTATGGAGAGCAGAATTATGTCCAATGCATGGATGCGAAGTAAATTTTAGTCAAATATTAAACAAAAATTCAGGTAAGACCTATTTGGTGATATATTAGACTATCTCTGGAAGGATAGTCTAGTTTCTTCTCTGAATGTATTTTAGCAGAAGCTAAATAATCATCTTTCAAAGACTATATCATACTCTGTATTAAATAGAGAGTTGGATTACATTATCTCCAAAGGTTATTTCTGTGATATACAGTAATTTTATATGCAATAGAATTCTCTAATTCTGATATAGGCATATTTATTTATTTCCTACCGAAATTAACATAGTATTAGGCATGGTTAAAGAACGAAAACTGATTTACTTTTGGGGGGTTACTAGAATGCCTAGGAAATGCATAAATAAAACCTCTCAATTTCATATTTATCATTTAAAAACAACAACCTTACGTGTTTTCTCTAGAGTCACTGGAGGAGTTGTAGTTAATCATCAAGGGGTTAATCATCAGGGCTGAAGAACTCATTCCGTTTGTTGAGCCGATTTTCCCCATTAAAGTCCACCATTTAACTGACTATTCTTTAATAAGAAGTTTTGTGGAAATCTATAGGAAAAAACTCTTCCTCTAAGAGAAAGATATGAAATGTTCCTTCACACAGATGTATGTGTTTGTATGTGTATGTAAATCTGTATCAAGGAACATTTCAGCATCTGCAATTTTACCAAAAAATATAACAGTTCTTATACAGTTTTATCCTCTTAAGTACAAACCGGATTAATATGGACTACAAGATTGTCAGGGCCCAGTACTGTTAACTGCAGTTGTCAACTACGCACATTGTTTCACAAGCCTCCTCTCTTTTTATTAAACTAACGCCACTTGAAATATAAAAACATGCAAACCCATACCAAAAAATCTTCACGAACATTAAATAAAGGTGAAAAGAAAACCCACGACCAGAAGTTATGGCAAAATAATATTCCAAACCCTCCGTAGCCGGGACTGAGCCCCTGAGCTTTCATTGCGCATGCGCAACATGCGCATTCGTAACCCCCCCCCGGGGTTAAAAACCCTTCATCGCGAGAATCAAAACCATAGAAGGCATCAACTATAACGGTTTTTTCTTTGTCAAAACGGATTGCTAGGGAGCTTTCCTATCCTTTGATTTTCATACCTTTTCATGGAAACTTTGAAGCTCTCATAACTTTTCATAGCAACTACGAAGGCCTGAAATGATAAAAACCTACCTGAACAGATTTATTTTGGTTTTTTCCTCGCACTGGTGTTAACCAACCAGGGCTCTCGGTGGGACGCTTGCTCACTTAGGTTCCACTTTCCACACATGCGCAGTAGCGTAATATCCTACCGGGTAGAAATGGCGCTGACTTTGGGGAGGCTGCGATATTTGCAGCTGTTCTGCAAGGTACGTCCTTGGTACAGGCCGGGTCAACTATAATAAATTTATATTTACCTTGCGCTCGAGGGTGGCTATTTCAGCTTCAGTCGGAGAACAGTGGCGGGATGTGCGACTTTATGGGCTTCGTATATTCAGCCCGGGTCAGGATAAGATATCGGATTTTTTTTTTTTCCTGATGTGGCATTCGGTTCTCCAGACGGGAATCGTGTTTCGAACAGTCCCATATTTCTATAGTGATATATAATATAATATATCCCTATAGAAATATGGGACTGTTCGAAACACGATTCCCGTCTGGAGAACCTATCTCGTACATGCTTTAAAAAAATTTTTTTTATTATTTTTTTCGTCCGTATACTTTCTTGTTGAGAGATCTGCGTTGAACTTTGTTCTTAAAAATAAACGTACTTTGGTCTTGAGATTAAAACATAATTTACACAGTAAAAACTTGCTAATATGGAGATGAGATATCAATTAACAGCGCTGATAAGTGACTTTTCTCTAAAATCTCAAAACATGATGACAAAGATTTGAGGTGATAATAATATATTTGGATAAGGAAGAGGCCTTTTGGAAACCAAATAGTGTATAAATGCAAGAGACACCTGAAATGACAGAACCGACTTCTGCAAACCTAAAAATATACATGACCAAGCACACAATTTTAGTAACATAGCATTCCCACATGGGAATATTTTAATAGAATGCCTATACTTGTGAGTAAAATAAGGAAACATGCAAAATGCAAATAGTATGGCTAAGTTATATGAATGAGCCATTATTATGAGATCTGCTTTGAAGATTATGAAGGAAGAATATCTGGCATACAGGACACTTCAAATTAGTAAATATATTCTTATGTTGTAACTATATTTTTTCTAAGGACGGCCTAGTATCTTTTGGACATGCTTCTCAATTTATTCCTGGAGTAGTAATGTTTGATAAAATGTGGTTATTTTATTACAGTTGAATGTATGTAAATGAAAGAAATAGCTACTTCTTTTAAAGTTTCATTTTCAAGAGAAATGAACTCAGCATATTACACAACTAATACACTAACTTTTTAGGTTGATGCAACCTCAAAATGCAAGATTCTTATGGCTGTATAGAGGCAAACTTCATCTTAACTATTGCTTCAAGCACATTATATGAATCAAAAAGATCTAATACAGGTGAAACTCGAAAAATTAGAATATCGTGCAAAAGTTCATTTATTTCAGTAATGCAACTTAAAAGGTGAAACTAATATATGAGATAGACTCATTACATGCAAAGCGAGATAGTTCAAGCCCTGATTTGTCATTCTTTTGATGATTATGGTTTACAGCTCATGAAAACCCCAAATTCACAATCTCAGAAAATTAGAATATTGTGAAAAGGTTCAATATTCTAGGCTCAAAGTGTCCCACTCTAATCAGCTAAGTAAGCCATAACACCTGCAAAGGGTTCCTGAGCCTTTAAATGGTCTCTCAGTCTGGGTTCAGTAGGAATCACAATCATGGGAAAGACTGCTGACCTGACAGTTGTGCAGAAAACCATTATTGACACCCTCCATAAGAAGGGAAAGCCTCAAAAGATAATTGCAAAAGAAGTTGGATGTTCCCAAAGTGTTGTATCAAAGCATATTAATAGAAAGTTATGTGGAAGGGAAAAGTGTGGAAGAAAAAGGTGCACAAGCAGCAGGGATGACCGCAGCCTGGAGAGGGTTGTCAGGAAAAGGCCATTCAAAAGTTTTGGGGACTTTCACAAGGAGTGGACTGAGGCTGGAGTCAGTGCATCAAGAGCCACCACACACAGACGGATCCTGGACATGGGCTTCAAATGTCATACTCCTCTTGTCAAGCCGCTCCTGAACAAAAAACAACGTCAGAAGCATCTTACCTGGGCTAAAGAAAAAAAACTGGTCTGTTGCTCAGTGGTCCAAAGTCCTCTTTTCTTATGAGAGCAACTTTTGCATCTCATTTGGAAACCAAGGACCCAGAGTCTGGAGGAAGAATGGAGAGATACACACTTCAAGATGCTTGAAGTCCAGTGTGAAGTTTCCACAGTCTGTGTTGATTTGGGGAGCCATGTCATCTGCTGGTGTTGGCCCACTGTGCTTCATTAAGTCCAGGTCAACACAGCCGTCTACCAGGAAATTTTGGAGCATTTCATGCTTCCTTTCGCAGACGAGCTTTATGGGGATGCTGACTTCATTTTCCAGCAGGACTTGACACCTGTGCACATTGCCAAAAGTACCAAAGCCTGGTTCAATGACCATGGGATTACTGTGCTTGATTGGCCAGCAAACTCGCCTGACCTGAACCCCATAGAGAATCTATGGGGCATTGCCAAGAGAAAGATGAGAGACATGAGGCCAAACAATGCAGAAGAGCTGAAGGCCGCTATTGAAGCATCCTGGTCTTCCATAATACCTTAGCAGTGCCACAGGCTGATAGCATGAATGCCACACCGCATTGAGACAGTAATTGATGCAAAAGGGGCCCAAACCAAGTACTGAGTACATATGCATGCTTATACTTTTCAGAAGTCCGATATTGTTCTATGTACAATCCTTGTTTTATTGATTTCATGTAATATTCTAATTTTCTGAGATTATGAATGTGGGGTTTTCATGAGCTGTAAGCCATAATCATCAAAATTATGACAAATCAGGGCTTGAACTATCTCACTTTGCATGGAATGAGTCGATCTCATATATTAGTTTCACCTTTTAAGTTGCATGACTGAAATAAATGAACTTTTGCACGATATTCTAATTTTTCAAGTTTCACCTGTACATCACCAAAACTGCAAAAAGAAAGAAAATTCCTTTACACAGAAACATGCATTGATGTCTTTTAACAAAACCTAGTAAATTTTATATGCAACTATCAAATACCTTAGTTGTTTTATTAGTTTATGCCATAAACTCTATCCTGTATGGTTGAGAATATGTTATCACGGTTCAGTCATTTGATCAAAAGCCATTCAATAGGGAAGAAGCTAAATGCAAATAGTTAGATAATGTGTAAAAAAAAAAAAAGCCCTCAAAAATTGTGCAAATAATCAAAATGGGAAAATTGTTATGAATATCAATGGAGATGTATTCACAGCATTATTGTAAGTGCGTATAAAAAAAGCCATATTTTTGTGGCAATTATTAAAGATTTTTAAGAAAGCAATAAAATCTATAGCAAACTCAAAAGAGTTTGAAATGCATGGAATGCAGCTTTGTCATTTACAATGCAAATTTATCCAACTTTAGAAGAAAGAGAAGCCCCCTCTCACAAATAATAGCATTTATTTCAGTGCTCATTTAATACATTACTTAGCAAAAGATGTTTGATAGTCCAAAGATGGGTTAATATCACACACATTACCATTTTCCAAATTGTTCTGACAAATCTTTTCAAGATGCCAATGGAATTAATATATTGACAAGGTACATCAAGAACTGGCCAATTTTAAGAATTATTAATGAATAAGATCATGAGAAAATAGAAATATCATGGTCATAATTCTCATGTGGATACAGTGTGGGTACAGAGAAGCTTTATTATCTAAACCTATTGCTGGCCTTTGAAGTGGAGAGAAGGATCTCTTTTATTTCTAATGCTACTGAAATTTGAAAGAAATTGAGTGCTACCTTGGGAACAAACAAGTGGTAATGAAGTTCCAACTTATTTTTTTGCCACTATTCTTAATACCAAAATTGACTACCAGAAGGGCTTTGGGAGTTCATGGGATTGATTCAAATACCTCTTACTAATCAAAACATTTTATTTTAGGCAGTATTTCACTATGCCAACTCAGCTAAAAAAATATTCTTCATATTCTCTTACCTTATGAGCACCCTAGAAGTGGTGATAAATCTATAAAGCAAAGTAAAAGTTTATAAACTTTGCTAAAACATCTGAGCATTTCTAGGTGAAACTATACCTCTAGTAGCAAAGTAAAGCCTTTTGCTTCTTGTACAATCTATCATGTTGGATAATTATAAGCATTATTTCACATAGCTCTATTCCTGCTTCTTAACTATATATGGGTAAAAGAGTTAATTATGCTGCCTAAATTCCTTAGCAGATTTTTTTAATTAGTTGGATGTGGGCTTTTCTTCCTGACTTCATGGAAATTATCAGTGTTTAGTAGATTTGTTCCATGGCAGTCCTTTTTAGTGGATCTTTGGACTCCGTTATTATTCATGTTTATTTCAAGTCTTGCCCCAGGCTCTCCAGAAAAAAACAGTTTTAAGAGCCAACACTGCCTAGAATCTATCAGCCATTACTCCTCCATTTCCTCTCATTCTCAGGAGATTTTTCTTTAAGTCTCTATCTTCCTTTTTGCCAATTTAGCAGCAGTTGTCCTTTTCTTTAGGAAAGTTATAAATCATATATGTTCTTTCCTAGGTATTATTTGGTAAAATCAGGTAATATTCGGTATAGAAAGAATATTTTGGCTAGAACAACATGTTAGCAGACGGAAACTGCAAGCTATCAATCATCACAACTGCTGGAAAAGAGAATTTGTTTATAACAGACATTCAGCAATCATACTTGCATAATAGCAAAATGTTTTAGGGATAAGAGGGATTTATTCAAGATTTGTTCATGTTTTAAAGAAAATCTCACCTGTTAGCTGATAGAGCTCTCATTAAATACTTGGATTCAGATATAATTTAAGTAATCTTTTTTAACAGCAATAACTACTTCTATTCAAGATTGTCCATTGCTAGCGTGGTACTTCAAAGCCTGGCACCATTTTGTGCAGTCATTTATATGTCTTCCTACATAATTTTTTTTACAGATTCTTATTATAGTCTTCCTGCCATTAAGATAGACTTTTTTATGTTTGCTGTTTTGACAGTTCAATCCTATGAAGAACAGAACTTTAAATATATTTGAAATGTCTGCAAATACTAGACTTAATTATTGTTTTAACTATAAATGTAAGCTGATCTCTCCAAAAGGAAGAAAATAGTCTCTGTATGGAGAAGAGAAAGTTTAGCATATATATACCACATCCTATCTTTCCTATACTTTAGTTTAAGAAGAAATACTTGTAGCTATTCTTATTGTTAAACATTGTATAAAAGTAGTAATTACTAAAAGTAAATATGAATAAGTATTTATATTAACTTCATCTAACTAAAAAGGATAATAAACATTAGTTTAGAATTAACATGCACTGTTAATGCATCCATGTCCAGCTTTTGTATTTTCCAGTATAAAATTTAGCCCAGTATAATAACAGGTTAAAAGTCTAGTTGGTATTATGTCCACTTTTGTTGAAAAATGTTTGAAATGAATTCATAATTCTCCTTATCCTTTATCATTTCCTTTTTTAAATATTTTGACAATTGCTGAGAAAATGTAACTACAGATATTAAATTTCTGCATACCATTTGGTTATGACGAGCTATTCAGAAAAATATCACGAAATACAACTTGTTGCATTGTCCCATTGTCATTTGATTGCCATGTACAACCTTCCTACCTAGCTCTTGATAAGCAAAGTCAATGAGGAAAGTCAGATTTGCTCAAGGATTGCATGATTTACTTAACAACTGCAGTGATTCATTTAACAACTGTGGCAAAAAAGGTTACAAAATGGAGTGCAACTCATTTAACAGCTTGTCTTAACAACTAAAATTTTTGGAATATTAATTTGGTTGTGGTAAGGGCACCAAATGTTTGCTTACAACAATACGAGTACTAAGTATTGTTGTAAGCAGCATTTTGGTGCCCTTACTACATTTAAAAGGTTTTAACTATTACTCTTATCTTTCAGCAAAGGCCAGCAGCTTGTGATCTGTTTTCTCGTAATTTTCACTTCACGGCATATGGAAAGAAGAATGTGTCTGCCAAAGTATCTGATTCAGTAAGTTATTTTTGAATCACTTGTTAGAGTTTGCAGCGATCCAATCAGCACACAAGTAAATAATTCAGCAGGATTCATTTATAGAAGAAATTTGTTTATATACAATAATATAAAACATAATGCATGTATACAATACCCATGCAGATCTTGCAGCATGGTAACAAGTACAAGGACAAGAAGTAGAAGAACAAAATCACAGAAGCAATATTGCAAGGACAAATGAATTCATATATATATACATACAGACCAGTTAAGCTAAGCCACGCCCCGGCTCCAAACCATCTCACATGGCTCATAACAGATCCTTTTTCTTAGTCACCAAACAGTTCCCATTGGCTGACTTCTTGTTATGGCTATCCCAGCTCATAATTTCTTATACACTGACATCATGTACATGGCTTCTTCATCCAATCCAGATATGCTGAAAAAGATAAGATATTTAGTCCACAGATTTATCTAAGTTGTAGTGTAGTTTATTTCTGAATGAATTGTTTGGTTAACAAACCATGATTTGTGGTTTAACAGTTGAATAGTTGTGGGTTACTCAATAAACCTTGGTTAAATAAGACTTAGTTTTGCATGCATAGTGTACATTTAGCCAGTAAGTAACTGTATGGGTATGCATTTGTAAATTTTAAAGCTGGATTTAAATGATCCCATCCTCAATTTTCCTTGAAGATTCTGGCATTCAATCTTGTTTGTATGGATCAGTCAAATTGCAATTTATTTATTTATCTGATCTATCCACCTGTTCAAATTAAATACTAAAGATATAATGATAGCTTACAGATAGGAAAGAGCGTTTTGTTAACATGGAAAAGAATGGCAGCAAAGAATTAAGGACTTGAGTTTAATGATGCTTGTAATTGTTTAAATTACAGAGGATCACAAAGCTGGGGAAGGAATATTATTAATCAAAACCTAAAGAGAGATATTTGAATTTTTTTCAGCACAGGGCTTATTGATTGTGCTATTCTCCAAATGTAAATTGAAATAATAATTTAAATTGTTTTGGGGTATTGCAAATATTTCATCTCAAGGTATTCTGCTTTTTTGTTATTCAGATTTCAACACAGTATCCTGTAGTGGACCATGAATTTGATGCAGTTGTAGTGGGTGCAGGTGGTGCAGGTTTAAGAGCTGCCTTTGGCTTGTCTGAGGCTGGATTTAATACAGCATGTGTTTCCAAATTATTCCCGACCAGATCTCATACTGTTGCTGCACAAGTAAGAGACCTCTTTTTCTTAGTCTGTCTTTCAAACTAAAGGAAGGGAAATGAAGCATGCCACAATTGCCGCATGCTACCTAGATTTATATTATATACAGTTGTCATTGTTTAGTAGAATCTGTTTGTCTCTTTATAACTTTGAATTTGCCTTCACAGTTCATCATATTGCAAAAATTTTTGAATTAAGTTGCCTCAATTCCATTAATTTAAAGAATGTGCTCAAAACCTGGGACCATTATTCCCTTGTCATTGAGATTTCAAGGCTTTTTATATCTGCACATTTGCAGAGTTAAGATTTCTGCAGTGTCACAGTGGTTAGCTGTGATCAAGTGATCATCATTTTCAATATTCCGTGTCAGTTTCCTCCAAGCAAAGTCAAAGGGGAAGCCAGTAGGAAGTTGGAAATGATTCCTGCTTCCACTGTTTTTCTTACCTGTGGTCATTCTGATTCTCTGCTTAGGTAAGTAAATACTTCAGGAAGGTGACCAAATAGGTTATAGGTTATCTAGTTAATGGTAATGCTTGAGGCCTAGGTTATTCTGATTTTCATGAGTAGCATATAGTGAGGTGTGCATTATATATTTATTTTGAATTGGAATATTAATTCCTGGTAAAATTTGAATCTACTTTTCATGAGAGAGATCATCTGGGGGTTTGGAATCAAATATTGCTATATGCTAATAACACCCAACTTAATTCTCCATATCATTTAACAGTAAACAAATTGATTTCCTTGATTGATTATACATTTAATAAATGAGCTGGATAAATAGAAATTACCATACATTTATTATAGACTACATGTTGTCCTAATTATGTGGCATTCAGTTCTCTTCTGGATGGGACTGCATTCTCCTTTAAATAACTATCCCATAATACAGAAATGATCCTTGATTACCAGATGTGCTTTTCCAATTGCCAACTGTTAACAATTTCTGTATAAGACATGCTTGATAAAAATTTATTATACCTTGATTGCAGCATGACTTGTTTGTAGCAATGAGCTCTATATATAGTTAACTTTGAAGAGTGTTTAAAAAGTTCAGTTGGGGTTATATACAATTAGATCCAGAATTCTAGCAGCATTTTATTTCAGTGTTGAATATATATACTGATTACCAAATTGTTTTTTGGACAGAATGCAAAGTGATTAATTTTTTTAGATCCTGAAAGGTTGAGGACATGATTAACTGAGAGACTGCTGTTCTTGACATGAACTTGCCTTGATTTCAAAGTCAGCAAGAGAAAATTTCTTAAAGATCACTTTCTGATCTTTAGAGAAAGGAATTGTATTCAATCAATCATTTTTTATTTTAGGTGCCAAGGTCTCATTTACTCATATTTTTTAAAATTTAGGTTATTATAATCAGAAAAAGGCTAAACCTACCATGCAGTTCTTATTTCTTGATCTATGAAAAAAATATCTCATGTTGATCTCTGTATTAAAGTTATGATTTATTAACATTTTAACAATTTGCCTCTACAATGACTTAATTTATAGGGAGGAATCAATGCTGCTTTGGGGAACATGGAAGATGATAACTGGCGATGGCATTTCTATGATACTGTGAAAGGCTCTGACTGGCTAGGAGATCAGGATGCAATTCATTATATGACAGAGCAGGCCCCTGCTTCAGTTATTGAGGTACAGTTACTTAGATTCCTTGACTGTCTATAAACATTCACATTGATAACATAATTAGGAAAAACAGTTTCTTTAGCTAAAATAACTGTTTTCCTTATAGTATCAATGTGAAAAGTAGGATGCATAAACATGTATTAGTTGACTGCTTTTATTTGTCTTTTAATAAAATAACTGTTACATGAAAAAAAACCCAGAAAAACTGATGATGACCATTAAATTCTTGATAATGCCAATATCATTGAAGAAATCCTTTCTGAAAGGGCAATGCCAAACAAAATGTTTATATTTTATATCATTTAAAACAGTGGTCCCCAACCTTTGCAGCTTGGCAGCCCGGCTGGGGGGTAGAGGAGAACCAGACTGCGAATGGTGGGCTGGCGCTCATGTCTGCACACATGCAGCTCAACTCACGCAAGCAGGCTGGTGTGTACATACATGCCATGCAGTTCCACTGCAAGTTCTTTCCCACCGCTCATACAGTCCAGTTCTGAATAGGTCACAGCCAGGTAGTAGGCTATGGCCTGGGTGTTGAGACTCCTGACTCCTTTAAAATCATTGTACATTCATCAACAAATTTCAGGTTTGGGTCACAAAAAAATCTTACATGATTTTTCTAGATTGAGATACCCTACTTAATTGTCTGTTTTAAGACATGATCCATTGCAATCTACCGAAGTTTACCTAATATTCTTCATTTCCTCTTTAGATGTTTTAATTTTTTTGGCTTTTCGTATTCTGTGTATCATTGAAAAATGGGGAACTGTTATCCTTAATAATCAGACTATTTTTATGATTTTGGTCTGATAACGTCATTATGTCATTATGTCATCATTAAAGGATGAAGGCTATTGCTTAGCGCAATGTAAGCCGCTCTGAGTCTCCGGAGAAGGGCGGCATATAAATCAATTTAAAAAAAAAAAATGTCCAAACTTACTTGTGAAAAAAAATTGATTCAAACTTGGCATTTCAGACCTATCCATACGGTGTTTTCTTACCAGTTTTCTTACCAGTGTCACATAAGTGATTTGCCATTGCTTTCTTTTGGGCTTGATTTTGTCATTTGTTCTAAGTGGGTCGGTTTTCTTCATGGTGATACAGTCTTCCTGGTCCTTATCAGTACAGATTATTCTTAGTTTTCCCCTTCCCCTTTTAATTTTACAAGCAAAGATGACATACCAAAAAGAAAAGTAGTTGCAGGTTTTGCGGGATGACATTTTTTGATAGACCTTATATTGTTTTCCCTCAAAATAGTAATAGATGCAGGCAAACTATATTTCTTATGTGCAGCAGAAGCTTCAGTATTCAAATATTCTTTTTCTAATGTGTGGTTCTCAATTTTTGAGAATTGAATTATCACAGTTGTTAAATATTATGTGGGCTAATACAGAAGGCCTCAGGACATATTTAGGTCTCTAAATGGTGTCCACAAATTGCTAAACTTAAATAAATTAAATTACTGCATTTAAAAATGGCCAAGAACTCATGTGATCACTAAATCTCATAACATTTCAATACTTTTGCTTAAAATGAGACTGAGTGAAAATATCAATATCTTTTGAGATTTTAGCTATTAAAAACAAATATACATGTTTATTTACATATTACAGCCTTCTTATAGTGCAGTATTGTCATAATTCATGAATAATCTAGGAACTGTAGTGATATTACTAGCTAATTTTCAGTAACTTCTATTAGAACCCCCAGTTACATAATAGTGTAGAATCTTGCAACAAAACATACTAAATAGATTAAAATGTTGCTTAGTTTATGTTATCTCCTTTTATTTTCTTTTTTGTTTTTGGAAGCTGAGATATTTTCAGATGTATTATATGTCACTTTACTAATTTTCCTTGTCTTTATAAAAGTAATTAAATTATCTCATTTTGGATTCCTCAGCTAGAGAATTATGGTATGCCATTTAGTAGGACAGAAGATGGAAAGATCTATCAACGTGCTTTTGGAGGTCAGAGCCTTAAATTTGGGAAAGGAGGACAGGCTCATCGTTGCTGTTGTGTGGCTGATAGGACAGGTCACTCTCTGTTACACACACTGTATGGACGGGTAAGTAGTTGTTTATGGAGTGGGGAACAAAGATCACTAAAGTCATGATTAACAGTTGCTTTTAAAATTGATGATGGCAGTGGCTTATGCCTATTGCTGTTGTGACTCACGCCAGGTAAAATTTGGCTGATGTTCCTATATATTGTCTGTATAAGTAAACAGTCAAAATAATAGAAAGTTTGTATAAGTGATATTTCTCTATTACTCAGAATTCAAAATGACGTTTTTTAAAAAATAAACCTTTTCTTTTCTTTTCTTTGTGTGTGTGTGTGTGTATATATATATATATAATATATATATATATATATATATATGTATGTATGTATGTATGTATGTATGTATGTATGTATGTAGGTCTTTGGTTATTCGGGTCTTCTCCCACGTAAAATTGGAAGTGTCTTGGTGACGTTTCGACGAAGTCTCATTCGTCATCTTCAGGCTGGTGTTCTCGGCTTCGTGCTTCCAGGAGCAATGTGAGATCGCAGCT